GGGGGTCTGAATACTTTCCGTACCCACTGTATATATATATATATATATATATATATATGTGACATATTTTAAGTTTATGTATAAATAACACTTCTTGATGCATTTTGAACTCATTTCATTTGTGTTAATTAAAATCTGCAATGTTTTGCATTGGCATGAACGGTTGTGAAGCCAGGCCAGACAGCTCTGACTCACCTCGCACCCTCTCCAGCCACTCCACAATGGCAGGTCAGTGTGTGTTTGCTCACTGCTGGTAATGATGTGAGCGAGGCCTAATGTCCTCCGGTCAAGAGCCATAGCCGGGATGGTCAGTCTGCCTGGTAGGGAGCAGCGTTGAGCTGCAGAAAGCAGTTTCCGTAGCTGGGTGCTGGTGAAGCGCGAGGGCCGAGCGCTGCCTAAGTGGGTACTATTCAAGCTGTTGCCCATTTGATTTGGACTACCACAGACTGCTCGAGCGCAGAGTTTGCAGCACCCTGTGGTGCTCCGTGATCCCACGCCAAAAATGACCAAATGCTACCGTTCCAAAAATGTGCGCAAATTGGAGTCAGCTGTTTGGCTTCATGAGCACTCAACAGTACACAAGGACACTTGCCACCGTTTGTATGTTAATATATGTGCGAGAGAAACTTTCAAAAGTTAAAAAAAGTACAGGTTGCTCTGCAGGGTGAGAAGGGAAATGGACAGAAGGTGCTAATCTGGCGTTCTAACATTCATCCCGATTTTGTGATACAGTTTGACGGACTTTAGGATGATATTCCCATCTTTCAAGCAGTAGAGAGCACAATTCCATTTACAAGCATGTGAAGTTATGCACAAACACCTAGAATATTTTGCTATCAAGATATTGAAGAAAACTTGGCTGGCATGCTAACACAGGAAGTACAGCAAAGTGTTCACACTCTCAAACCTCAGATGTTTTATAGCATTTATTCAGCTGCACTCGGTCAGTGTCAATCGCACTACTATTTCCTGTCTCCCACTGACACGCTCGCCCCCATCCCTTCAGGAGCGAATGAAACGGCCCAACCTGGGCCACCCGAGTCTCATCTGCAAAACGTACACACCCTATATTTACTCTACATCCAAATATCTATTAGTGACCAAATGCTACCCTTCCTAAAATGTGCGCAAATTGGAGTCAGCCGTTTGGCTTCATGAGCACTCAACAGTACACAAGGACACTTGTCATCATTTGTATGGTAATATATGTGCGAGAGAAACTTTCAAAACTTAAAAAAAGTACAGGTTGCGCAGGGTAAGAAGGGAAATGGACAGAAGTTGCTAATCTGGCTTTCTAACATTCATCCCGTTTTTGTGATACAGTTAGATGAATTTCAGGATGACATCCTCATCTTATAAGCAAGTAGAAAGAGTGCAATTCCATTTACAAGCATGTGAAGTTATGCACAAACTTTTTATGTAAAAAAAAAAAAATCACTGAAACCTAGAATATTTTGCTATCAAGATATCGAAGAAAACTTGGCTGGAATGCTAAGACAGGAAGTACAGCAAAGTGTTCACACTCTCAAACTTCAGATGTTTTATAGCATTTATTCAGCTGCACTTGGTCAGTGTCAATCGCATTGCTATTTCCTGTCTCCCACTGACACGCTCACCCCCATCCCTTCAGGAGCGAATTAAATGGCCCAACCTGAGCCACCCGAGTCTCTTCTGCGAAACTTACACACCCTATATTTACTCGACATCCAAATCACATCTATTAGCGTGCACGTCAGCCTCTCCATGCATCGCTCGTCCCGTATCCCCCCCCTGCTCCCTCCCACCCTTTTTCCTTTAACTAAACTGGCTCTGGCTCCCTCCATCTGGTCCCCTTTCCTTCAGCAGCCCCGCACCTGTTCACACCTCCTCTCCTGTTGGACCGCATTGAACATTTCCTCGGATGCCAGGGCTATTCTGGCACTCGCAACCTCTCTGTCATTCAATCCATCTGTCAGAAGTGAACTTTGTTTACCGCCAGCTTCTGCTTTCTTCTTCAAGAAGCGCAAAACCCCCTCAAGGTCAGAGGCAAAACGAACTGCAGACGCCACCAATTTACAAACAATCCCCTCCCTTTCTATAAGACACCCCTATCAACAAACCAACTAATCACGATAATCATTTTTTTCTTATGTATCCGTAGAGAATCTGTTGTGATTTGAAAATGCACACAGAGGAAGCCGAGATGTGTTCACATATGCTGAATAAATATCCACATTTTCAGATTAGGTCAAGAAATCACAGAAAAAATACAGAAAAAAATATTGGATTTTTAAATAGCTTTTGTGAAAAAATAGCTTTGACCAAACGTATAGCTCATTCAAAAAATATATATATATTGTCATCATAAATTCACCCTCATGTCATTCCAAACCTGTTTGACTTTCTCATCCAATTCTTTCTCACATGGAACTCAAAAAGAGAAGTTTAGCAGAATGTCCAAGCTGCTCTTTTTCATACAATGAAAGTGAATGGTGACCAAAGCTACCAAGAAAGATTTTTAGTGGAAAACATTAACAATTGATGACACAGATGAGTAGATGATGACAGACGTTTAATTTTTGAGGGAACTATTCCTTTAAACCGTCCTAGTATGAACTAAACCTCAGTTTAAAAATATTTAAGAGGGATCTGTGATGTGCATTCTGGGACAAAATGCACAAACTGGACAGAAATGAAAAGCAAAGATGAGAAGGAGGAAGAGAGGAAGACAGAGCGCTATCCCTGGGTGAAACAGCCTGTGATAGCGCTTTTGAGGCTCGCGCTCTAAGCGCATGACGCATTTCCACAGCTCGGGTTGACCTGCAGGGGCTTGTGCCAGACCCCCCACTCGTGTTACCTCACACAGGAGGCCCAACTAAACCACGCTGCCTTCATCATCCCTCCATCAGACACCAAATATGCTCTCCAAATGCCCAACGTGCCCATGCTTAGAAATCAAACCCGCCACAAAAAGCACATGGCCGGCGCGGAGCATAACAAACAGCGCTTTTAACCCAACAGGGTGTCGGGCTGCCGGGTCTTAGGGTTGTGCCCATCTCTTCCGCTCCCGTTTCATGGCAGGTTTTTGTGGGAGGATGCCCGCTTGTGATGGACTCCTTATGCCATCTGGAGAGTGGAGTAGATGGGGAGAGAGAAAAGAGGGGAGACGTATAGAGAAAGCCATGATGATATGGGCCTTTAAACTGTATGTTTTAATATAAATTTACTGATAATGCTTTTTTTTTTGGACCTAACAAATGGACTACGCAAAAACAATTAATGCATTCTGGCTAAACAGAGCAAAGACACTTGCTTAAACCTACTCCAAAACTAAGAAGAAATTCATATACAGCTGAGCCAGTGAGCAAAGCACACTAAAATACACCTCCAGAAACATGTGGACACCATTAATCAGAAATCAGCACTCTGGCCCCAGCTACTGCTAATATGGAACCTATTGGAATAATAATAGATGGAAGTCTATTATTGAAATTGCACTTGTGGTGACCAAGAAAAAAGTGTCATAGAGACTTTGAAAAAGAGGAGGAGGAGAAGGAGAACAACCCAGCTTCCAGAAACAGTAAGTAGGGCACTTTCTCTGGGCAGAGTTGGCCCAAGTGAGAACAGTTGCACCCGACAGATTTGCTCCCACTTTGCCTGGGGACTGGCAACATTCTGTCCTGCACCATCATGACACAGAGCTGGGCCACGGCACTGGAGACGTTCTCAAGACACACCGACATATAGTTTTAGTAGGACTGGGAGTTTAAAGTTGAACAATGAAATCTTATCTTGAGATCTTGAACATGATGAAGCTTTGAAATTGAAGCTGGTATAAATATTTGCTCTCATAACAGGTTGATTTGCAAATGATGATTCTTCACTGAAAGATAAGATGAAGAATGAATCACATACACTACCATTTAAAAGTCTGTGGTCAGTAAGATTTTTATGTTTTTGAAAGAAGTCTCTTATATAACTCTTAATATAGTTAAGTTTAATATATTTTAAAATGTAATTTATTCCTGTGATGGCAAAGCTGAATGTTCAGCATCATTACTCCAGTCTTCAGTGTCACATGATCCTTCAGAAACCATTCTAATATGCTTATTTAGTGCTCTTCTTCTTATTAATGGTGAAAATAGCTGAGTTGCTTAATAATTTTATTGGAATGGTGTAATGTCTTTTTCCAGGATTCTTAGAAATAGAAAGTAAAAAACAGCATTTGTTTTAAATAGAAATCTTGTGTAACATTATAAATGTCTTTACTATCACCTTTGAACAATCAGCAATGACCTGCTGAACAAAAGAGTTACTTAAAAATAAATAAATAAATAAAATAAAAACAATGGACACTTTTCATCACTGGAGTATATAAATTGAATAACTTAAATCAGAAAAATATGAATGATTCATGGTACACAATTCATATTCATATGAACTGGACTGTTATGATAAAAAATTAATGTTCCTGAGTTATGCATTCATTTCTTTATATTAGGTATTAATGTAGTAATAATAATTGATACTTAAATTCTGGAATCACATTGAATTTTCATCACAGAAATTATTTATTACACATCAAGTAGCTGTAATAGTGACATGCCATAGCTGCCTAACATTTCCATAAAATATGAAGATTTCATTAATTTAGCAATGTCAGTATTACAGTCATTTTAACTGTCAATGCTCATCATTAAAAGAAAAGTATGTGCCATGTTTGGAGATATTTTCCCCTCTGTGCAAATTGCATGCAATGTTTCAAACATATGCATTCTGTTGGCAAACGCTGCTAGCTGTAGCAGCAGTATTCAGAACGAGAGTGTGTGTTCTCTTGTGTACACTACATTGTCCTCTTAGGGGCTTGTAAATAAATGACACATATGTAATTGCCTTGAACTTGGTTACACTGTTAAATAATGGAGCAAACTGCTGGCAATGAGTTGAGGGCTTGCTTGGTTGAGGGGCATAGCCTCTGGCATTGCATCTGGTCTTATAGGCCAGTGGAGAAACATAATGCATGGACAAGAAGGGGGGAAGGGGGGGTCACTGCTGATCGATGCAAACATTACACAAACACACAGAGTTTGATATTCATATTCTACATGCTGTTCAATAACAGGTTCTTTAATACTTCATACCTTTATTCTAGAGTGAATCTTTAATTTTTAACTTAATGGCTGGTGCAGTAAAATATGATATGACAGTCACTGAGAGATTAATTAATTTGTTTATAAAATAATGTTTAGAAAACTGGAAAGTAATTTTGTTTTCCCATAGCTAAGAAAATGAAGTTTTGAGAATAAAAGACAAACTACAATAACCAGATTTCAACTTGGTATCACTTGATATCTAATGGACCAACTTCTTCTGGATCAGTTAAGCTTGTTACATCGCTATACCGCATGACCCTGGTTCACAAAGTCTGCAATGTCGTCTCTAAGACATTGAGAATAACATAAGACAAAAGCCCTCTTCTTGCCCTCTGCCGTGTGAAGTGGAGGAGGAGCCGGAGGCCAGCAGCCCTGCCGGCGAGGCGTGAAGACGTGGCAAGGTCTCATCCCAGGCCAACGGGCACACCACTGTCAACATCATGACACTCACTGGGCGGCTCGCCGGCACTCTCCCGCCTGGCCGGCAGCGGTCCCAGCTGCCCCATCCGTTACTGTCTGATTAGTTCTGCTAAGCAGCCCCTCCCCTCCATGCCCCATCGCCATCTGCTCCCCCAACAAAATGGCTGCCGCCCAGCACCATGCACACCGCCCCGCTACCTGCCAGTGCCCGCACTCAACCCAAAGCGCTAACACGGCTTCTCGTGGCTGGCGGCGGCCCCCATTTCGTTCGCTACTACTTCGGAAAAGGGGCGGCGGGCTACACTCTTTTATTTGCTGTCGGATGGTACATGCGCTTCCCGCAGACTTAGTTTGCAGCAGTTTGGTGGCACGGCAGACATTGCTCACCGCGGCAGCCTCCCTCTGGCATGGGGCTGCATCTGCTCGCTCTTTTATTCATTTTCCGATTCTCCACCTTTCAGGGGATTGTCATCCTTCACGCGTTCTCACGCGGCCGAGGGAAAGCAGAGAAGCGTGTAAAGTTTAATGGAATTCTGGGGTGGGATGAACAACTTTTTAATGCCAACGCTGCAGTTGGTCTCACAGTTCTTGTCGGCCAGTCACAAGAACTTACGAGAACTTAGCAAGAGGACGAGTTAATGACGCACACCGACAACCAGACAAGTTGTGTTGAATACTTGGGTCAATGACATACAAAATTACCCAAGGTTCAGAAAATCTAGTTTAAATCATATGTTCCAAGTTCTTAGTAATGTACTCATTGTATCCATGCTGGTTGCATATGGTTTTAAAAAACCTTTATACCATTTTCAAGAAAAGTTTCAATTTAATGACTTGATAATAAATAAATATTAATAGATTTAATAAAAATGTAACATGTTATGCCATCAAGTAAATCGTAATCCCAAGTTTTCCTTACTTCAATACATGTGTGTATACAAATCTTAATCATTATTTTAAAGATTAATATCTATCTATCTATATATATAGTATATATATGTGTATATATAATTATTATTATTTTTATTTTTTTTTTACAAATATGCTAAATTATTATTACATCATATGATAAATTATATTTATATCCTGAAGTAAATTTGCCCTAAAAAGGTCAAATTATCGGACACTTTTTGGGTCAGGAATTTTAGTTTTTTTTAATGAGGCTTTTTTCCTCGTTATGATATCACGACAGTTTTATCACCGTCACATTTTTTACTTTTAACAAAATTAATTTTAATTACATTAAAATATATTCATGATAGGATAGATATATTCAAGTCTTATAAATACAATATTCATCAAAAACAATATTCAACTGTTATTATGAAATGCATTTTAAAGTTTTTGAATTAATTAATAGATAGAAAAAAAGCATCACCCACTTATTGACCCACTTACAAAATACCATAAGGTCAAACTATAGAAAGATACTCAGGCATAAAAAAAAAGTCCTGTCTTCATCTGCACTAACATGTTTAACGTGTTCAGCAACTGCACAGATGCCAGTTTAAGCCAGATTCTCTCACAGCTCACAATGAAGCCTTACTTATGTGGACAATCGAGCACCATCAAGCCTCTCGTGAATGAGAGACTTTTTCTGCAATAATTCCACTTCACATACAAAAATAAGCCAAAGTGAGATGAGGCTGATCATTTCATATCCCCAAAAACTTCTAGCAGGCTTTTTTCTTGTAATTCTCCATCCCCCACAAAAGCACGATTAACCAATCGGTAGCCAATATGGTGGATGAAGCGCAGAGTATGAGGGTTTACAGCGCTCAGAGGGCCAGGTTCTCCACTAAGCTCTCGACAGAGAAGTTGTGAATATTTCCTACTTTCAGATCCATACTTATGCCTGAAGGTTCTCCTTTACAAACCCGCAACATGCTTCTTGTTGGATCAAAACTTCAAGCCCCGCTGCCAGCGTCACCGCTTGCTTGCAAAATTTCATGTTGCTGAAGAAGAGAGGGAATTTGGAACAAAGCAAGCCCCTGTGTCCCGTTCCAAACCACAGTGAACTCCAGCAAACACAGAAAAGCAAAGGGGAAAATCTGTTGCGGCTGGTAAAGTGGCACGGCAAAACAACGCAACTCGTTTTTTATTCGTCGCACATTTTTCTCTCTTTATTTTCACACCCTATGGGGTCTGCCGAATGTTGGGAGAGGTGGGAGGGTGGGTGCAAGAGAAGGAAGGAGTGGAGGAGGGATGACAAAAAGGCACGAGCGCACAAAAGCAAACAAACAAACCGAATAAAGCCTGGGCTCAAAGCCGTCAGAAGGCAGAGAACAGAGCGGCAGGATTATGATAGATCCTCTGCTGCCCAGCGCACAGCTGGCTGATGATCCAATACTGGAGCCGCCGGCCCTCCCCAGCATGTGCACGGGGGGCCTGGGGGCCAGAGCGAGAGAAAAAAAACCCCAGAAAAAAGCAAAAGACAACTGCTTTGCCCATCCGTTTGGTGGGAGCTGTGATCATCCAAGCTGTGAGACGAGAACGGAAAGAGTCAAAGTCTGGCTTCAGAGGGCCTGATTGAATGAGCACCCAGCAAAGGGGACGTGACACAGAGAGGGACCCCACATGACCATCCCCTGGGCCGCTCAGTCACAGGGGCCCCCGCAGGTCGGTACGCATGCGTTTATGAACGTGTAAGGAGAGTAAAGACAACAGAGATGGGAAAGAGAAGGATTAGCCTCAAGGAAGAGAGAAAGAATGCACAGATGTCTGCTGCATCTGTGCACTACGGCTGGCCCAAAGAACCTGCCCTGGCAGCCCACGTCCACACCATGCATACAGTGGCTAAAAGAATCTCTGCTGCCAAAAGCAGGGCCTGTCAGTGGCTTAAACACTCTGATCTTCAGCAGGCCATTTTGTTGCCTCATCTAGAAGAAGCAGAGAGCATTTAAAGGCCAGCATCCTACCCGAGCTTTTTAATGCTAATTCAACCTCATTTAATCACTGCAAAATCTCTTACGTTTCAATAATGCCCTGATCAAAAAACTGAATTACCGACTGCTTGAAAGTGAACTGCTGTAATATACTCAGACAGAATTTTCTTCAATAATTTAAAAGAAAAAATGTAAAAGACAACTAAACTTCCAGTCACACCAGAAATAAAATGTATAAATATATACATCACATGGCCATTACAAGAAAATGGAAACTCATCTGCTCATCTCTGACAGCCTGCAGGATAGTCAATAAGTCCAAAATGATTCAAAAAAAAAATAATTCACAATGCATGTGCTAAGTACTTAGAAATGTGTTTCATATTTTCATAAATTCAAGTTGTATAAACGTATTTGAGTTAAACTTTAAATAAGTTAAAATGTATTTATACACATTGTATCATGCTTTCTTGAAATGTATTCACGTTTTCTTGAGACAATGTCATAAAAAGGTCATATGTGATATTGGGTCTACAGAAGTCCTATATAATTTCCCGTTTTGTGAATTTCTTGTCAAATGACAGCAAAAATGTTCTGCTTGTTGATTACACACAAAGAGATCTATTTAAGGTTACACTATACTGACTTATTTAGTAAACAAAATTTGGTGAAAGTTTTTCTAAACACTGCATTAATATGGCAAAATAATGCAATTAATTCAATACTTATATTAAATATAAATACATTGTTAATGTTATTAATTTAATATTCATAAATTAATGCAAACTGCAACTACTTTATTTTTAACATTTATATTTGATATAAATATATAATCTAAAAACTTTAGTGGTAGTAGAGGTGTATTTAAGTTATTGTCTGGATGAACTACTTATTTTCTGTTCAGTTTTGTTCTTTTTTCTGAATGAATTAATAGATCCAGACATACACATAAAAAAACTGCATCACATCAGTAACTCAAACAGAGGTGTAGACCAAACTAACGCAAAATCTACAGGATAGTAAATGTACATTAAAAAAAAAGCAGGTGTACTAAACTAACAATGCAGGACTACATTCTTCTGCTGCGTAATAACATCAAATACAAGAGTTTGTCTAGACCTGCTGTTGCAAACAATCTATACTCCACAAAAACCATCTGGATCATTTTCATGCACAGTGGTACTTTTCCAAATATAAACAAATGACTCAAATTATTCACTAATATTTCTGCAACAGCATGCATCTTTATGGTAATTTATAAACAATACATGACCGAGTCTTAATACTTAAGTACCGAATTCCCTTGCGAACAGATGCTGTCCCTCCTCTGCAGCTGTGCAGTGCTGTGGCAGATGCTGTAAAATCTCCTCTTCCTCCAGAGGAATGGAGACCCCAGTGCCATTCAAACCCACTGAGGCTTCAGCACTGCCTACGCTTACCGCTGGGGTAGGACACATCCACGGAGACATGGAAATGGATGGCTTCATTGTGGGCAATCATTCAGTGGGCACAGAAATGCCATAAAGCCCAAACAGGAAATCTAGAGCAGTGATTCCTAACCAGGGGTGCATATACACCACGTTTCAGGGGTTATACAAGTAAGAATTCGATTAAAACTTTTTTTTTTTTACACTTTATTCATGTCTATAAACCCGTAAAGTATTGTGCATGTGTCAGCATCGTCGGTTTAAGTGGATGAGAATATACAATACAGTTTAAAAGTTGAAGGTTGGTAAGGTTGAAAGATGTCCCACATTAATTTGATCAAAAATACAGTGAAACTGTTTTATTTATAGTATAGTAAGATTTTGAAATATTACATTACTAAAATGTCATTTATTCCTGTGATAGCAAAGCAGCTATTTCTTCAGTCTTCAGTTTTACATGATCCTTCAGAAATCATTCTAAAATGCTGATTTGCAGCTCAAGTAACATTTCATATGATTTCATATAGTTTAATATTTTTGTGGAAACTGTGAAGCATTTTCTTCAGGGTTCTTTGATCAACAGAAAGTTCAAAAGAAAAGAACTAGAAATCCTTTGTAACATAAATGTCTTTAGTGTCACTTTTGATTAATTTAATGCATCCTTGCAGAACAAAAGTATTCAAAAAAATTACTGCCATCAAACTTTTGAATGGTGGTGTATATATCGGTATTAAAATTATTTGGTTAGAGCACTATCTGGTCTCTAGATGAAATGTATGGTTATATGTACAGCAATTTTCAGCATAGTTTTAATTATTGTAAAATAGGTGCCAGTTAAAGTAATTTAACCTGGTTACTACAGACCATTCCTCAGGTCAGTGTGACATACCAACAACTGCAACCTGACAGCACCACTGCAATCACTAGCACAAAAACAGCACAAGGCAGAGACTTTATGAGTGGCAGATGTCAGCACACAAACACCACAGAGAAAATGAAATATGAAAATACAGAACAAATAATGTTGCAGTGCATACTTTTAAAATGTTACACCAATTCCTCTCATGGTTTAACTGAACAAATACTACAAACAAGTAAATGACAGCATAAATTTATTGAATGCAGTGGCCCCACAAAGTATTTGGACACGTAAGTGATCATTTAAATTCCTGAACATTATATTTCTAACTATATGGCATTTAGAGAGCACAAACACACTTTTTAAGCAAAACACTGAGTTTTTGGATATACTGTTCAAAATGAAAACAGAAAAATACACTTGTTTCCTTTGAAGCTGTCAAATTGTCACGACTCATAGTTAATGTGATGAATTACAACTGTGGTTACTCTAATTGGACACCTGTGTGAATTTGAGAGGAACAGACTTCATAAATCCACCAAAAATAGTTTTAAACACCAGTTGATTAAAAGTAACTGCAAAAAATGTCTAAAAAAGTTAGTTCTGAGAGAAGCATCTGGCATCATTTGCAGATTACACCTGGTTTAATATTTTGGAACATATGCAATGACATTCACAAATTTTGTGACTTAAGTGTCCATATACTTTTTTGGGGCCACTATATTTTTAGTAGTACAAAAAAACAAATTAAAAGATACAGAATGTTCCTTTGGGCTTTGCTACGCAGTAAGTCTAATTTATAGTAATGAATTGTAAACTGTTAAATTGCACTTAACGGCCATGTAAGTGTCTTACTGTGCCAAAAACATTCTCTCTCATATATAATAATAAGGGTGGGAGGTGTTAAATCTGATCTATTCTTCCTAATCTGGAGCTATAATCTATTTGCTTTCTAATAAAACGGGATTAGTTGAACAAATGTTGCTGAAAAACACTGTTTATTCGCTTATCACCTATTCTGGTCTGATTTTCATCAGAGTTTGGGGTGATTTTTGCAAGATGCATATGAAATTCAAAATCCAAAGCTTGAACGCAATCAGACAAGCATTCAACACAAAAGGTGCCACTGATTCATAAGACAACATCTTTGCTGTAATATCTTCAGATAAAAAAAATAAAAAAAACAGTGATAGCTCAATGTAGTGGGTCTGCTTTTGATTTAATTAAATGGTGTGAATTGAATTTAACAACCAAAATATATTTATATTTAACGCCAGCTCATTATCATGGCTACGAATACGAGTGAAATGTGCACATATGTGGAAAATGTATAAATGTATGAGAAGCCACATATGCACTATTCACTCCGTACTGATTTACACAAATAACGTGAATCAGATTAATAATAAAGTTCGAAAGGCGAAAACCTGTCAGAAGTATTAACTGATTTCAACTTTACTCGCCGCTAAACTGAGTGACGTTATCGAGAGAGACAGCATGTGCCCCTCTCTCCGGCCCTGTTCTCCTGGTGCGTGGTGGACTGTGGCGGTGGCAGCCGGTGGCTAGTGGCGATTTAATAAAGTGCGGGTGCCCTCCTGCCGGTGTGCTGGCACTGCACTGGGGCCAGTGGACGGGCGCAGTGTTGTGGCATGTAATAGGATTAAGGGGGTTACCTGGTGAGGTGCAGTTGGCGCTGGGCGCGGCTTAGCCCCTCAGCCAGGCCGGCTGCCTCCGCCCGAGCTCGGCCCTCTGCCCTCTGGGCATCCTCCAAACGCTGCCGGCAACCGTTCAGCTCCACACCCAACTTCTGTACTTCCTGAACCCCGTGAGAGGGGAGAGAGAAACCAAGCGATAATTCATTTTTGCATTAAAACATGTCTTCACTGTTCGCTGAAACTTTTAAAAATGGCCTTTTTATTTTTTTTGGCACATAAAGACTAAATGCCAATTTGTAACAGTAACACTGTAAATTGCAAAACTGGTTAACATATAGTTATTGATTTAAAAAAAAAATTTCACATTCTCTCCTTATGGTCGATTAAGTTTCTCTTACCTGCTTAGCCAGTTCTAGCTGACGTCCCAGTTTGGAGCTGATGTCTCTCACCTCTCTCTCCTTCTCCTCTTTCTTCAGCTGGGCCTGGCTCAACAGAAAACGCAGCTCCGCACACACCTGACACAAGCATACATGCAGCTTAAAGCAAAGTCCAAGGTAAGTTTCAATACTTCTGTCCGCTGAAAACTGTTAATTCACATACTAGACACTGATTCACTGAGGAGATGTTTGCTGCTCCTTTCTATCTGCTCCATAAACTTCTACTAGAGCTGTTGCGGCATTAACTCTATCAGCTTTGCTAATAATATAGTTTTACTGCCATCTAGTGATGAAACATTCTCCATACAAAGATGACTGAACCAATTAACCTACATATCAAGAAAGATCAAATTTGGCATCCGAATAATGTTGAGGTTTCTTTGATTGGCTCTATTGATTTAAGAAAACCTGGGGGATCAAATATGAGATCAACACAAAATCATTTGAAATTCATCTACAGATAAATATCGGGTTCATCATATTGTCAGAAGAGCATTAGGAAAAGGGCAATCCAAATCAGCAAATTTTGTCTGTTGTGGGGAAGGCTTTCACTGGGTTGTACCTTGCTGCTTTCCGTTTCCTGTGCTGTGAGCTTCTTATAAGCTTCCTCCAGCTGGCCATTGAGTGAGTTCCGGTCTCTCTCTCCCCTCTCCAGCAGACCCTCCAATTCAGCCGCTCTCTGAGAGAGACTGGTCACCTTACAGTGGAGAACATTACAATTATATTAGTGATTAATTAATATTAGCTCATTTTAATATCTTTTAAGTGTGGCTTGAGTGTTCGAATACTTTTTTAGGTTAGGACCACTGTATAGGACTATTTATACTCTTTAAAACGAGGCCCAAGAAATAACCTGAATATAACTAGAAATAAACTGAAAGTGTTAAGAATGTGAAAATTGTAAAAAAATACTATGAGTTGCATAGTAGCACGAATAAGAAATATTTCAGATTCTGCACTATTTCTAGGTCACTAATCAAATTGGTAAATTAAATAATTAAAGCAAAAAGTGCACAGACTTAAGACATTCTGAAATCTGATTTTCAATGAAACTTCAAACTGTTGCAGTTAATGAAATTTGTAATGTAATAATGTATTAAATTAGAAAAAAAGAGAGCAGGCTTGTTGTAATCATTTGTAAGTCACTTTGGATGAAAGCATATTCCAAATTAATAAATAAAAGTAAATGCAAAAACATAATAACTAGACCATTTTTTGAACACTTCAGGTTTTCTTCTTTTTAGTTTGGTTTAAACTTGAAGCTTTTCTTCAATTCTGATATTTAGTTAACAATATTGCAGAATCTGGTTTGGCTATTTTTTTGTGTGCCATAATTAAAATGACACTAGAGGGCAGCATATACTAGCTTTGTCGAAACATTCCAATCCTTTTGAAAAAAAGAGAGTCATAATATTCAGTTCAATAAAATATATGAGCCTACATGCAAATTAAGAAAACATTTCTTATTATGGTAAGCAACTAACAGTCTGGGCAAGCTCTTCTTTCTCTTTCTTGCTCTCTAAACGCGCTGCCTCCCTGGCCTGGGAGATCTTCTCCTGTTCAGATGCCTTCTCTCTTTCCAGCCTCTCCCTCTGTCTAGTCAGCTCATTGTGGAAGTGCTCACACTGCACCAACGCCTGCAGGTGCACAGGGACAGACCAGAGGTCAAGATCAATGAGTATACCTATCTCTTTAATCTCATGCAAAACAGTAAAATTCATATTCAAATCAGTGGAGTTGGCACATACTCTTGTCTTCTCCAGGTTTGCCTCTTCTGCCATCTCCACCGCCTGTTTGACCTGCTGATAGGCGGCCCACTCTCTCTGCTGGGCCTCAGTCTGACTGGCTCTCAGAGAGCAGAGCACGGTCGTCAGCTCATCCCGCTCTCTAACAAAGACACAAACACAAGCATCTCATCAGGTTACTGAAAGCAGGCATTGATCTGACACATAATCAGGACAGCAGCTGATTAGCTTCATGACCAGTCGAGACTCCTTTCAACCTTGCTGTGAGGAACAATAATTGACTGAATACACACAGGGATCAATTAAAGTGGTCAAAGGAGCCTAACAGTGTTAATTAACCCAGAGGTTTTGCTCCAAGGTAGTTACAACATCAATATCTCTCATGTGAAGTTATTCAGTATACGTAAAAAAAAAAATTTGTATTGATACAAATATGGCAGTTAAGACATTTATAATGTTACAAAAATTCTAATTATATATATTATATATATATATATATATAGTAATGATATATATATATATATAAAAGAACGTATAACAGTTTCCACCAAAATATTAAGCAGCACAACAATAATAAGAAATATTTATACATAATTATTTTAGGTGTTAGACTCATAGTTACAGTGAAAATTTAAACACTAAAAACACACACTTACTTAGTAAGTCTTTCAATGCTCTGTACATGAACATTAGAGTGCGTCTCTGCCAGGACTGCTTCATGCTGGGCACACTTCAGACACAGACCACCCACACGCTGACCACTGCCCGTCGCCACAGCCATTGCTTCTTTGTGCCTCAGTCGTTCTTTCGTTTCCTCATATGCCTTCTGAATGCTCACCAAGTCTTTCCTACACAGACATTTGCAGTAAGAGGGCACATTGTTACAATATGCATATATGATGACCGATTGATTCTATTGGTGGACGGAATCACAGTGCAAATATTGCAGATGCACAATCAGTATGTTCTAAAGAGCACTATAAATCACAATGACCAACACTCTGGCAATCTACATTTTCAGCAGTAGGCATTTATAATCAGGGAGGTCCTCTAACACCATAAGCATGCAGAACGTATGATAAAATTATATTTTAAATGATATTTTGGTGTCTTTTTAGCAATGCAAATGAATAAAATGTGTAATTAAATCAGTGTACCCACTCAGATTGTAAGATAAAATATGTTTTAGGCTTGGCCACTGATTGAAGCCCACTTACTTCAGGGAGACCACTTGAGCCTCCAGGGTCTCAGTTTGTGCTTGATAGAGACACTTCAGCTGCTCCTTAGACAAAGAGATGGAAATTACAATTTTAGTGCACATTGAGTCCATTTATTGATGTCACATTTTCAGCTACATGAATGTTTAACCACAAATACCATTTCTTTCTTCCATTTGTGGTCCTCAGCTTGATTAATGGAGTCAAGTCTTTGCTTTGAAGTCTTTTCTGGTGTGCACTCCATATTTAATTGAAAATGAACAATAAAATTACTCATATTTTGATAAATTATGTCATTATAGTCCCACATTTGCCATTTCTGTCTGCACCATATCTAAAGGTCTCATGGATACATACTGTGCTGTCTACAAATGTGTATTCTTTAAGAGTTTCTTCAACCGCCTTTGCTTTCAGCTCCTCGTGTAGTTTCTCATTCTCCACAATCACCACTCTCACTCTCTGTTTCATTCCAAGAAGTTCATCCTTTAGAGAGGAAACAACACAATCAGTACAAACACATGAACAATTACAACTACAGTCAAATTGCAACAAAATTCCCATCACATGACCAGTTGAATACTACTGGCTTTATCTGGGGAAACCCCCATTATCAAACTCATAGAATGCCTCAGACAATAAATTCACTGATAATATCTTGTGTTATGCCGAGTTCACACTGCACGATTTTAGCCCGATTTGTAGTTTGCGGACCAGACAGAGCTGTTGGCGATTCTTCCTATTGTGAAGTCATGCAGTGTGAACCCCCCTGTCGCCGATCCATCGTGCAGTGTGAACACAGCAGCGACTGAATGCTACCCCGGATAGTCACGCAGTGTGAAAACAACGGCGATCCGACGAGTTTGAAAATCGTGCAGTGTGAACTCGGCATAAATTAACAAGACTGAGACTGACCTTGCAGAACTTGACCTCAGCCTCCAGGTGTTGAATGTACTCAGACTGATTGTGGATGATGGGAACCAAGTCGTGAACACCAGGCAAACTGCTATTGCCCTCGTCTGTGGCTCTTTGCTAGACAGCACAATTATATAGTTTCAATTAACATTGTGTAAACTTTTAAGTAAGAGCAATAAACCTATTGAGCAAAAGTTAATGGTTCTCACTAGGGCTGCAACAACTAATCGATAAAATCGGTTATTATCGATTATGAAAATCATCGACAACGATTCTCATTATCGATTAATCGGGTCTGCCCACAGTGCACGTCCAATGGAGTTTACATTCTTGTCCAACTTCAGCCGGTCGCGTCAAATTAAAGCACTGAATTACTTATTTCTATGGACAAAATGCATCTAAAATAGCGGAGGAAACAGAATGAGATTACGTGATCCAAACTACCCAAAATATGAGAATTCTTTATTTTAAGCTTTAAGCTAATGCATTAGCGTAATGGCTTGCCCTGTCAGGCGCTTTAACAGATGCGTGTGCGTCCTCAGCGCAAAAAAACTTTCAGTTAACGGTCATATCCTTATGTATAAATGTAACGAATTCACGCGAGCATTTCCATTTTTGCATAAAGGTCCGTCCTGACAGTCTGTGTTAAATTCAGACAGACGGAAAACAGAGACAATTAATAATCAGCGCAAAAACATTTATTGTGCTGAAATATCTGTTGTTGAAAGTTAAATGAAGGTTTAAAGGTCAACATGCATTGCGCATATTTTATGAGAGTAGGAACTGTAAGGGGATAAAAGCGTGTAATTGTCTGAATATAAATATCAGACGCTTCAAAACCGCCTTTAACAGGATAAAGAAATGACACTAAGCCCTATTCAGAATCCATGAGTTTTATCACTGAGGTGCAGCAACAATACTACAGCGAGAATCAAAGTTACACCTTCTTTCTTTGCGTGAACATTTGGGCAGTGTTATGCAAATCTTCCCACACAGTGACGTAGACATGTGGGGCGTGTTAGAACGAGCCGTTTTAGGGGGGCGTGGCAGAGTCTTAACTTTGATAAAGAATATCTCTTTTGTTTTGAGACTTTAGTCTTTGCAACTTCAGGGATCTTATCTATTCACGAACAGCTTGTAACACTCCAAAGAGAAAGGAAAACTTGAAATCGCATCATATGACCCCTTTAAGCACTGTATGTTTTCATAGCATTCAGTTGGAACGTTTGTTTTAAGGACATTGGGCAGAATGTGGAATAGTGTGTTTTTGTCAATAAAATAAAAAAAGAAAATTGTTTGCTTTTAATCCAATTAATCGAAAAATAATCGACCAACTAACCGATTATCAAAATAATCGTTAGTTGCAGCCCTAGTTCTCACTACATATTATAATTACTATATTACCATAAATTTATATTATAAAGTATGGTGCATTAAAATGTTCACTAAAAAATAAGAGTGTACTTGCACATTTAAACTTATTAATGGTTAATTATCTTTGATGTTAAATATTTTGTTTTGAAGTGAATATTTTAATTTAATTGGAATGTAAAATATAAATTAAACTGTCATATTTATATATAAAGAAATTAAATGTGAATGTTTTTAAATGATTAAACTATACATGTTCACAGTTCTATGACGTTTTTTAGTAAATTTATATATTTTTTTTATTTTTAAATTATTCGTTTTAAGTTACATTTTTATGATTACAATAAAAACAAGCTTTTGGAAGCTTTTTAGGAAGCCCTGATTTAATTGCAGTACCTTTCCAGTTAATTTCCTCTTGGAAGGAGAAGGGGATGCAACATTTGCATCTTTGGACTGCTTTTGAAGTAAGGAACACAGCTGACTGACTGAAAAAAAACAAACACATAAATAAACAAAAAAAAATCATTTGCACAAATAAGGCTACTCATCCAGAAGATGTCTGCATGTACTGCATTTTAATACACAACTACAATTATCAGGATGCAACTCAATCCTGCATTATAATGATTTGTCAGAATAACATGCTTTCTGCATGATCTGTACCTGCTTCACTCTGTTGAACTGGTATAGGAGGGTTTTGCAGCAGAGGGCTGAGCTTCTCCTGCTGCTGCTTTGGTTCTGAACACTCAGAGTCAGAGGCAGAGCTGTGGCTGGCCAGCATGCTGGAGAGGTGCTGGATACTGCGGTTGGCTCGCTCTGAAACATTGACATCATACAAATACATTGATTTTAGTACATAATATTAATATGACATACCCTGCCTTGAGTATTGTATAGTTTATCACATATGTACTGTATTAACAAGTTTAAATATTTACTAATTGTGTTGTTTTCTGTGGTTTAGCACAATGTTTCACAAAAAAATCTTGTTGATCTTGTTGCAAGAGCAAGCGTTCACAATGAATAATACTCTATCAGAGGTTCACTTTAAGTGGTTAATACTTTGGTTTTCTGTCATATTATTTTCATTATTACAGTTTTGTAGACAGCAACAGTAGGCTGAATCATATTTTCAATGTTAAAACCATCACCTCTTAATGTCTTCTGCAATGCTCCTAATTCCTCCTCCTCGTCAGAGTCCAAGGACGGTTTCATTATTGCTTTAAACACGTAACTAAACCAAAAAGGTTTGTAAATATAGCGCACAATTTCTCTGGCGCACTGTTACTGAAAGTGTTGTAGTGCCAACGACGTCCAAAAAGACGTCAACGGTTGCATGGCAGAAGTGCACTTCCGTAAACCGCGCAAAGGCAACCGGAAACTGTAGTTTTTACAGTATCAAATAGCTAGGGCAGAGTGAGTAAAAAACTACAAGACGGGCATTTCCGATATTAACAATAGTGTTGGACTGAACGTTTACTGTTTAAAAACACTGATTATTGTAAACATAATATTTGCGCCCAAATCTCATTCTAAAAAAGTCAATAAAAGAAATAGTCTATAAAATATTTTAAGTACCAGTAATGTACGAGGACACGCCCACCGGACTGTGTTGGAACTGCAAACGCTGTCCTACTTGCCTGATTCCAGGCTGCCGTATGTCGCCGCTATTTGCTGCTGAGCAACTGAGGCAAATAGGAGACGTGGGGATACACACTGGGCTGGGCTACGAAAACCGTTTAGCTGCTGCATTGAAGCCAGAGATAAAACTGACAGCGAAAAGAAGAGCAAGGGTGAGTGAACATTCTTATAAAGATTCAGTTTTATATTTAGTGCACGTAACAATAAGGCATTTATAATAACGCTCGCGTATGAATGCATTTGCTCGTGTTAAACGTATTTTCCCATAAGGCTGTGGTGTAAAGAATTCACGCTTTTCCTATGATCTGATCTGATCGTGTGGTCAGGATACCGTATATGAAACAGCAAGACACAGCTAGCCAGTTCGATCATATTGAATGAATACACACTAGCAAGAGCACCGCCTGTATTCATGTGAGGTTTTTGTAGTAACGTTGTGCGTCCTAACGCTAGCGTTACTTCAATGATATTCTAATCTAATCTTGATTTATGTATTAAATGTAATAGTGAGTTTGACTATATGCACGAAGAGGACATAAGCACTGGTCACCGGTTTGCCCGAACGCATGGCACCTTGCTCAGTATCGTAAAATTTGCTCTAGATCGCAGCGAATCTTTAAAAGCAACAATATTTCAGTACAATAAGTCGGATGTGTAGGAGATGTGCTTGATTTGCCTGGTACTGGTACACACTGTGAAGAGCACTGCGCAGAATCCTTTGTTTTGACAAAGGCTCTTGTTTTGTTCTGCTACACCTGGCCTACATGTATTTTGATTGCAGTATTAATTACACTTTTCATCAATGCGACATTTTTATACCTTGTTATTAAATGTTTGCTATCTGTAGTTTTAGAGGGAAAACAGTATAGTGTCAAAATAGCCGATCTCCTTGACAGTGAATTGTCCTGTGTAATAGGGTTTGTTACTAAATTGAAATATTAGTTGAAAAGGGGGGTTCTGTATTAATTATTACTTCTTCAGAGTTAATTTTAAGCCCGTTATTAGAATATAAACCTAAAACTGCATATAGAGTCTGTCTCACAAAACCTACAGTAGTAAGTTCAGCTGCCTACCTAGACAGCATTTTTGGGTATCATGTTGACATTTAATGTCTATAAATGTGAGCATATCAGTTATTTGAACTCCTCTAGAGAGCAGGTTAAACTAATGGCTGTTTTCTTTGCAGTCTTCACCTCTTTCTGCAGGACCGAAGTTGAATGGCTTCAGTTTGACCCTGTTTTTTAAAATATCATAATAATATTCATTGATTTGGCACATGTTCCTTTTTCTAAACTGCTGTAAGTTTTTGAGTTTTACCCTTGTCGTCTATTTTGGGTGTAACTGTTATTGCTTTGCACGTTTCCTCTAATGTATTTTGATTGACTACTCTGTACTTTTCTCTCAGTATTTCAATCTAGGTTATGAATCGGCTGTTTGTTAAATACATGTTGTGTCCAGACCCTTTTTAATGCATCTTTTTTGGGTTCCAAAATGCTAAATTATTACTTTGTCACAGTATGTGGCAGGTCTTTGTTTTGTTTTTTTAAACGGCCTTTTCATTATTTCTTCTCTCATTATTTCTTCTCACAAAAACAAAGAAAAAACAGATAATTTAATGGAATTAATTTAATACTATTCTGGTATCTTTTATGGCTCATGAGACATCATATGTTGTCTGGTCCTTAGTTTAAATGTTCTAAAAGAGAAAATGCAACAATTTCCTAGACCCAGTCCAAAACATACCCTACACTGAGTCTGGGGCTTTCACAAGAAAATCTCTCTTTTGTGAACCCTGGGCCCCAAATCATTAATTATTCATAAGTTAGCATCACTTCCTTAGTTGGATCATGTTGACTGACCAATCCAGTCAGCTTCCTGTTGTGAAACGGAAGTACCAAGTGAATGTGGATTCACAAAGAAGCCACAAAGAATCACATGCTCACAGTCCATTAGTTACAAAAGCAGTATTATCTGAGAATTACTATATGTGACCTGGACCACAAAACCAGTCATAAGAGTCATTTTTTTGAAATTGAGATTTATACACCATCTGAAAGCTGAATAAATAAGCTTTCCATTAATGTATTTTTGACCCATACAATGTTTTTTTTGGCTATTGCCCAAGTGACTTAAGACTGGTTTTGTGGTCCAGGGTCACATATAAGCAAGAATTTGCCAGCATAAGCCCTACAAAAAGATGCATGTGTGTTTCCGAAGCTTAATAATAATTACATTTTTTTTCTTGGCTCTTCTCCTGTCAGGCGTTGTATTGCAAATGCATATAAATGGCAGTCTGTGTTTGATGATCAGACTATTGGGTCATTTCAGGCCAGTCTGGATTCTCGATGCCCACTGGCTAGCTTAATCCTGCTCTTTAGTTCGGACCTATATTTGTGATCCATTATTTGTCCCCCGTTTATATCTGGTCTGCTGATTGTAACTGGTAATTGAAGTGCATGCAATAGGTGTATAATGGCAGTCAGAATAAACGCTTATTGATGACTTGCTGAACACGCAGTTCTCTTCATTCATGTTCATAACGTCACAATGTTATAAAGATTTCAAACATGAAAATTTTATTTTCCATGAAAATTAAGCAGCCACAACTGTTTTCAACATTGACAAGAAATGTTTCTTGAGCAGCAAATCAGCATATTATGTGACACTGGACAGGAGTAATGATGCTAAAAATTCAGCTTTGCCATCACAATAATTCATTCTATTTTAAATTATATGAAATTATGAAAAATATCTATTTTTTGTTATTATTTAAGAAAGACTTCTTCAAAAACAAAAAAATCTTACCAACCTCAAAGTTTTCAGCGGCGGTACATGATATATGATAAATAGCTCATTTTTGTTCTGAATTAGTCTTTCTTTGAAAATTATGAGCGTCTGAACATGTAGCAGAAATTCCCTTTGGTCAGAAACATTTATTGGTTGTTGATTTGCATAAGTAGGTCTGTTGGGTCAAGTGTGTCATTATGCATGTTTATTACCACCCAACGGACACATTTTGTTGTGTCTGATAAGGTCTAGTCACAAGTGTATTAGATTTGGATTAATGATGGATCTTTCTTCCTGCTGCCACATGCTGATGATGTAAATGAGATGTCTGCTTCTCATGGCCATATGGTACTTTTACAGCATCCCCAAATTTGCTCTCTTAGCGTGTTTTGCATTGGATTACATTGCATTACATGACCTCAATAATTTTTGGTGACGCAATATATCGCACAACAAAAAGTTGTTATCGTGACAGGCCTAGATATGTATATTTTTTAGTTTTAGTATATTTAGCGGTGTTATTTTAATTACTGTGTTGACAGTGTGCTGCTTTAGCTGTTCAGGTGCGATCGCATTCACATGTACTGTTGCTCTGCAAAATTTGCAGACAAGACACTATATCTATTTCATTCCAGTGCAGACATCAACTTGAATTATCTGAATGAAAGTCCGGCCATTGTTCATTCATGTCAAGCCCACTCACTGTATTCATCTCAAGCACTGAGATGGTCTGTGGATCAATTTCTCTCCCAGCATTAGCATATAGATATGCGGTATACTTTCTGGTGACTAGTCAAAAGTGTAGTCAGATGCCTTCCCAGGTTTGAGACAGAAGGCTCAGATGCCCTCAGGCTTGTTGTTGCAGCATCTGTTTCTGGAAATAAGAATCAATTTTTTGATAATGCAAACAAAGTGCTTTTGTGAAAGGAACAGAATGATGGAGCTTTAATTTCTGAGTGTGGTTTCTACCGATGAGTTAGATATAAGCAATGAACTGGGACTAATTATTTAACAGTTTGTGATGCCTCAGTGATTTTACCTCTCTCAAGAGATACTGACGATAGCAGTGAGGACATTGACTTTATCACTCACCCACCAGTGTTCATCATTGGCCTCACAACATCATGTTACCTTCAAGGACCTTCACTTGGCATTCATAGACCTGAGTACTTCACTGTATTGTGGAACGCTGTATTTTCTCAAAGAGCAACGTATATGTTACACTGCATCTGCTGTACCTAATCCCTGTCTTTCATGAAGTGTTCATTTGAAAGGGATAGTTCACGTTCACATAAATCGCATTGGTGTATAAATCACATTTTATTATTATATTCAGAAATAATGTAAAATACCTAGACATAAACATTTATATTGTGTATATATATATACTATTTTAGTTCCCCTCACTTTACAACAAATTAAATTTAAGTACATTTAAGTTAAATACATGCTATGCATAAACAAATGTATTAAAAATGAAACTGAAACTATTTGTGTGTGGGACATGAACTATACAAATAAACTTGGGCCTATGTAGGCTCACTCTCTTTCTCGGGATGAATACAAATGTGTGTTTTGCATGCTTTGTTAATTGCATTATCACTCTCAGATAAAAAGGTCCAAAACCTGTCACTGGGGTGGTGCCTTTTCAAAAGATATAGAGCCTACCTTTGTGCCATATTTACCTCTAAAAGGTGCACATTAGTACCTTAAATGTACATATTGATACCTATTGTATACATATTAGTACCTAAATGGTACATATTAGTACTTTTTAAAAGGGTATCACCCCAGTGACAGCTTTTGTTCTGTGCTTTTTTTTTCCTGAAATTATGTAAGTTGATTTGGAATATATATCGCAGAAGCATGTTTCAGGTGACAATAAACGTAACTTGCATTCTGACAAATATGGTAATAAAAGT